TATCTGCCCAGCGGACAATCAGGAACCCTCTGGGACGAGGGACCATTAAGCTTGGAGAAGCCCTGGTCCATTCCAAATCGTATCATGACATCTGACACATTGCCTCAGCTTGGCTGAGCTGGCGAGCATCAGTAGTGGGAGACTAAACGAGCTCCATCCTTGTGCTTAGTGCTGCACATTTTCCTGTATTGTCAAGTTCTTTTTTTTTTTAATGAAGGCAGTATGAATGATCTGCCTGTTTTCAGATCGTTTAAATCGTCCACTTTGCAGTTGCTTTTTGATTTATTACCATGACTACGCCAGAGTAAATTCAGCTCTCATCCTTTACTGCAGTGAAGGATGTAAGTACAGGTTGTGGATGAGCTTTTAAAGTTTGTTATTATTTGACTCTGCCTGTATGTAACACACATGCTCTACAGTTCAAGATGGAGAATTACGGCTTCTTCCAGTTCATCCATAGAGCTCGACAGGAGAGTCAGCACCTATTGGAAGAGTAGCACGTACCTCACAGCCCAAACCCTATCCCAGGGGTCTCCAAATCCATGCTGGAGAGCCCCTGTCTAGTTCTTCTTACAGGTCACCCCTAGACCGCCTGTTAGGACTCTCGTTTCAGCAGTTTATTTCTCCATTCTTGCCGTCTTGTTTCGAAGGTGGTGAAGCTCTTAGACAGCCCAAGGGGAGAGAAAATCTAAATCAAAAATCGCCACGGAGCAACATAAGTAAAATTCAAGGGCAAGTACAGAAAAAAGGAAAGTCAGAGAGTTCTCTAGTATATCGTTATGTCGATTGCTCTCTAAACAAATGGCTTATGAGGCACCTTCTTGTAATTAAGTTTGTTTGTGTATGTTTGAGTACTTGAATTGCGCAAAGACGCAATATCGGGAATGCAAATGAAGCTTGGAATTCACATGACATGCTCCTAACGTTTCCGCCTAAATAATGGCAGAATTCCCGGCGATTCCTGACACTGCTGTAATGGTGCAGAATGCCCTGGCTCCAGCAGGTTCCCTGTGAGGTTTGTGTATCTTTGCAGGATTTCTCCTGCAGCTTTGGTGTCGAACCGCAGTAAACCCTTAATCCTCGCTGTCCGCCGCCAGCTTCGTCTCGGTGTGTTGGGGCTTGTCTCTGCAGTACATTTGGCAGTGCTTTGTGCTGTTGTGTTCATGCGGGTCTCCCGTGATAGGGGGTAATAGCTTATCTGGATGGAAGAGATGGAAACCTATTACAAGGCTCAGTAATTTCTGGGACGGGGGGAGGAATAGATCTTGGATGCTCGGCTGAGGGGGGCGGGATTTCGTGTAAACAGTTTTTCGGAACTGCCATCTCTCGAAACAAATTACTTATGAGGCACCTTGATATTTCTAGCAATTAGGTGAGTCTGTGTGCGTCTGAGTACTTCGAGCAAAGCTGTTTCCACACGCGGTTCCCGACTTTCCCCGGAGGCTCCGATCTGTACTCTTTTGTGAGATCTTAAGAAAAGGCAATAGTAACACACTCCGGGGAGTCCACATTCACTCTCTCCTGGTGTCGAAAAGCCTTGAGCGCGAACGGAGGGCTGTATTTGAAAACTGCCGGTGGCTCTTGAGTCCCTGCACTGGGTCAGCTGGCGTTTATGAGGCTCCGCCACACGTGTGAGCCGCTACGATTGCGTTGTCCTGCAGCGGCATTACAATTCACAAAAAATGTCAGCACTGTGGCTGGATACATGACTCTCCCAGCAAGTGTCAGCGTTGAGAACATCCTATCCCCACCTGTCTGTTTTTTTTTTTAATTTTAGCGTCGAAGTCTAGTCTAGTCCCACCCCATCACCTCGCTTCTTTATCTCCTCCAAGCAGGGCTTGTGCACTCGCACATGTGAGCTCTGGCACCGGGAGACAGACACCCGGCCTCTGATCTTCGTCCTCTCAGATCACGGTTCAGTCTTCTGCCCTTCGGCGCCTCGGGCCATGAAGAGCGTCTCTGCAGTAGGATCTGACTTGTCCTGCAAGCATTAGAATGCGTCGCGGCCGTAGAGAGCTTCTTTTCTGGCTATTTTTTTCTAATACTTTTTTTTTTACGAGGTGCATCTTTCCGCACCATAAAGGACAAAAGCGAAGGGGGTTCGAACGGGGACGCTGCCTCTCCGCGTGTGCCCCCCCTCTCCTCACACCTCTCAGGCAGCCGCAGACGGAAGACTCAGAGCTCCGTGTGTCGGCTCTCGTTTCCGCTCCCCGCCACCGCGCCGGGCAGAGACAGGCTATTTCAAGAGCGGTCGTAATTAATTATAAAGACCTTGCGTACAGCAGAAGCCCTCCCCTGATGTGCCAGCACCTGGCTCTTCCCCGCATTCCAGAAGCGCAGGCCTGCGACTCCGAGCGAGCTCACGGGGGCGAGATGAGGCTGCGGCGGGGGTGTCCAGTTAGGCTCCGGTTACGTTACCGCTGTAGGAGAAACCATGCATGCCGAGTCAGTATGCATTAATTATTATTGTTATTATTATTGCATATTTTCATTTTTTCCCCTTTGCTTTGCCGGCCGTTGCTCATGTTTACTGCCTTCTCGCAGATGGTGGGGAACAGAATCCCATTTGTGTGTAATAAGTCGTGACTAATTGTGTGAGAATTAAATAAAGTCCTTACCTCGAAGCAGGCAATGGCTGGAGAATTACCTTGGCTGCACTTGAATGGGAGCGTTAAAGATCTCTTCATGAATCATTAGAGTGAATTAAGGTGGAGAAGACATGCATGTAGGATATACTGTGTGAACTCTGTGGGACTTTTCCCAACGTTCTCAGCAGCCTTTAGTGTCCTTGTGTGCCTGCCGAGTTCGTTCAAATCACCCTGCTGTTCGATTCCAGTGCAGTGGGGCTATGAAGGGTCAGCCTGGGTTCCAGCTTCTGGATGCTGTTACCATTACAGTAAAAGCAGAACTGCCCGAGTAACAAAAAAATACTCTGATTTTGAACCCTCCCTCAGATGGCTTCCTTGTAAATGACACTTTATACACAAGTTATGTGCACTCGGTTATACTTTTGCAAAGCTTTATAGGTGTAAGATTGAACTTTTGCTAATGAGATGTACGGTAATCAATCACCTGCTGTGGTCTTTTGCTGGTAGGGTAATGACACTCTATTAAAACTCTTGATATATTTCAGGTTATGAAGAGTTTCTGAAATGTCATTTGCAACCCCTAATCTTGGCTCATTTTTCTCCATCAGTAGACCAGCTTAATAAACCCATGGCTCTGTGGTTCTCCCCCACAACGGAGCACATCTGCAGTTAACGGCCTCTGGTTTGTGTTATACTCTTCTTATCCAAGATTCTGCAGCACAAAATCTCCTCAGGGCCTCCTACAGCCAGACACATTCCAGTATTGAAAAATACGGCACCACAATGTTCAGGGTTTTAATGTGAGACCTTTCACTTGTTCAAAGGACTGTACTGTAAGTGTATTATTTAGTGGTCAATCTTCTTTCTCTTATGTTTTTTGGAGAGAGATGCAGATTTGAAATGTGTGTTATGGTGCCCTTTACAAGTGTTCCTGTAGACACATCACACAAAAGCTTGACAAATCAAAGATCCCCAGTGATGCACAAAATACACTAGTTTGTGTAAAACATCCACGCGTCAACTAAAATCTGAAAATTATGGTATTTCTTTCACACCTACATTAGGCTATACGCAGTCTTCATTAATACTGCATGCAACCATTGCAGAGCTATGATCCATATTCGCCAGCCTGACCTCACCATCCTTCCTTTTTATCGCACAAGTATCTTAAATGTCACCTTCTCTCACACTGAATGGCATTTATAACAAATTAGTGCCATATTGGAAAAACCCTGTAACATTTCAGTACAGTAACTCTTGACCATCGCACATAATAATATCTAGTTAAAGATAATTGCATGCTAATTACAACTAATAGTGGTAATATATTATAAATAGGAATTAATAATGTAATTATATGCTATGGCTTACTCGTGGAATTTGTAAATGCATGGCATAAATAAATGCCTGCCAGGGTTTTTTTGTCTGCACACATTACACAGACATGACCTCTACCCACACCATTATAGATCCAGACACTGTCTCTGAGGTCCAGAATGAAGAGTAATTTGTGCAGAAGGCCACCCAGATAAGCCACACCAAATGACCCTTTGTAGAAGGCGAAGGCATCTCTTGCTTAGTATGTCTTATAACCTGGCATGTTAATAAGTGATACTAGACTATGCAGCCCTCTGTGATGATCTTACAACACAAGGAAGCCACTTTGCCATGAGTCTCCTTATATCTTTAAAATTATTTAAACTCCTGACTTCATCATTACAAATTTTTTTTAAAAATGTTAAAAGCCACAAGTGAAGAACTTAATAGTCCAAATGAAAAATCAGAAGTTATTTCCTAATCAAAAGATGTAAAAATCAGTGTTGTGATCTGGGTTGTAGTTCTGGATTTCAGACCAAGACGTGTTCCACCTACAGAGCATGGGTGTCGATAAACTGGGGCTCCGGTGCTGTGCCCCCCTGTCTCTGACTTTGTGAAAATGTGTTTCTCGGGGGGTCCTCTTTAATCTTCATTCTGGACAATTGTATTGGAGCAGCAGGGGCAAAGCTGTTGAATCTCTCACTTACTCTTGGGGCAGTGCGGTGGCCCTGTGGCTCAGGATCTGCGCCTGTGGGTGGAAGGTTGCCGGTTCAAATCCCGCGGCCGGCAGAGGAATCCTACTCCGTTGGGCCCCTGAGCAAGGCCCTTAACCCCAGCTGCTTCAGGCGCGCCTTATAAATGGCTGACCCTGCGCTCTGACCCCCTCTCCCTGTCTGTGTGTCTCATGGAGAGCAAGCTGGGGTATGCGAAAAGACCAATTCCTAATGCAAGAAATTGTATTTGGCAAATAAAATGTTCTTATCTCCCTAAACCCATTCTGTAACATCTGGTCTTAAGTGCTCTGAGCCCAAGTGGGTTTCTGTGTGACGGGGAGGGCAGCATCTAATTAGCATGTTTGTCGTGTCCCTCCTGCAGCTGAGAATGACCCCTGCCAGACCAACCCCTGTCTTCATGGAGGAACCTGCCTGTCCACTGGGGACCTGTACAGCTGCCAGTGTCAGCCCGGCTACTCTGGGGAGAACTGCGAGATCGGTGAGCTCCCGGCCGGGGTGGCTGCCGTTTTGCAAACAGGGGTTAAGGGGTCAAGGGTCGTAATACACTAAAAGGGGCGTGGGGGAAGGGTGGTTGAGCGTAGGACTTCCTGTCCAGCAGGAATGAGCAAGGCCAGTTTCTCCAGTCCATTGCGCCAAATGAAATCCTTGTTCATCCGGGGACTCATTATTACAAAGATGCAGAAAAATAAGAGAAACTTCTACTTTGCTCGTATTTACTTATACTGTAAATGCCACAACCCTTTTAGTAGATTGCGTGTTCTGTCTACATCTGGTTTATAGAAGTGCGAGACGTGGAAGTGGAATGGGCAATTTATTTATTATTCACAACCGTGCAATAGTGGCAGTAGTTGCCTGGGAGTGTGCAATACACACAATACACAATACAGTGTGTATTACATCTTCCTTGTGTTCTGTACATTCATACTTTTGTGTGTGTGTGCTTTTTCCGTTTCGTTTGTAATTCTTTATTCCATTTTTTATGTATTGTATTACTACATGTGGATTGTGCCTGGCTGCTGTAGCACTTGAATTTCCTGCATGGGATTAATAAAGTACCTACCTACCTCCTGCTCTCCGGATATGGGGAATGCCTAGTCTTGACTGTCTTGCTCCCAGCAGGACAGCTGCTGTTGTCCTGCCACAGCGTTGCTCCCAGTGGGGCAGTGTCTCTGTGTCCATGTCCTGAAGATGGAGGCTCTGGTGACTGTTTGGAACTTTTGTTCACGGTATCTCTGCCAGCAGGCATCAGTGTTTTGCTGTGGGTCACACCTGAGGAGAACCTGAGGAGAACCGCGAGGTGGTCAGGTGGCTGCAGGCAGGCTGATTTGGAGAAGCACTGTGGAGCGGGCTCAGGGCCTTGTAGAGAGGGTGGGGATACAGTAGCTGTGCATTGCACCAGAGGGGTTCTGAGTGCCGAAAGGCAAGGAGAGAGGGAGAGGGACTGAAGCACCAGGCTGCAATAACCCGAAATGCAGACCACTTCACGTCTGTCTTAATACCGTTAGACCTCGTTTGTCCGGTCAGAGTTTGACTTGCTTTGTCCAGTCGGAGTTTGGCCCGGTTTATAGCAGGAAAGACCTAAACTATCATTCAGTGCAATCAGATGTTAACTTCTATGTTCGTAATGAACATAATGAATCATTTATAAATAATTGTTTCGTGAAAATGTGAAGATAACTGTAGTTGACTATATCCAGCCAAGATATTAAATGACAGTAATGTACAGTATATAGTCATAGTTGTATAGTTGAATAAGCTGTATTGTAGATGTGTTTTGGTATGAAATGAGTGGTTTCTTTTTGTTTTTGAGTGTGATGTGGTTGGACTGTGAAATCTATCCCAGTGATGTACACAGCACTAATTAAGGCTCGAGGCAGGCAGGTTAACGACATGCCTTTCCAGAACACGGTTCAGGTCTGCGCGCACTGCACTGTGGCCTTTCGAGCCAGGGCAGAGAGACGAGCAGGGGCGGGGGTGGGAGGGGGGTATCGTTCTTTCCTTTCCTCCTGCCCTCTCCCCCTTCGGCCCCTGTTTTTTTATGGCGCCTCTTTCCCTGGAAGCAGTGCGCAGCCACTGCAGCATCATTATCCTCAGAAACCATTTGGCAGATCAAATGTTGAAAAACAAACCCGCCTAAAATGATGATTTAAGCAGAATCAGTGCAGAAATTCAAAATTCCCCAAAGGCACCCCCCTGGGATGGATGTTGTATCGGCAATTATTTCCAGAGCATTTAGAACCCTTTGCATAATGTATGTAGTACTGTATGGGTAGCTGAGCCTACACATACTGTATATAAAACATTTACGAAGTACAAAGCGCTGTTCTGGCGGAGGAGGTGGGTGGAGGGGGTCTGTTTGACAGGTGTGAGGGTGATCCCAGTTCCACAGGATAAGCTCCTGTCCTTTCACTCAAGCACCTCTCCTGTGCGGATGATCCTGTCTCCAAGCACCTCTCCTGTGCGGATGATCCTGTCTCCGATCCAGCAAGTTAGCCAGACTCACAAGAGCGTGAAAGGACGCGCAAGGTGGCTGTGTTTCCAGCTGCTGTGAAGCCTGGCCTCCTGTCAGCCAGCTGTGCCGGGGAAGGAAAAAGAGCTCCATATGAGCTCGTTTGGTAGTTATCAGCTTATTGATCCCAGGATCTCGTCCAGCTGGGTTTTTTTTCTGAAGGAAGCCACAGTATGGGCTTCCATCTCGGGGCTGGGTGACCGCTGTTCTGCTCCGAGGACCTGTATTCGCTTAGCGGGAGCTATGGTTGAACTGTTAGGTTTGTTCTCATCGTTCCAAAACTGAATCAGATCAAAAGTTGCCGGAGCACCTTTTCTGCTGGGTCAGATCTCTTCATTTTGGCATTTCACGCGCAACTAGATGTGTCACTGTAGCCAACATTTAATGGTGCTTCTAACCCATGCTCTACACTGGCCTGACATGTGCGACTTTCGCTGCGTTTTTCCGCTGGCTAAAAATGTGCTAAAGAAGACGCAGTTTGAAGACGATCGGTTTCTAAGAACTTTTTTCATCGGCTTTGATTGTCTTAGACTGATATATTTCAGTTTGAGGAACTTTTTCAACTCTGATGACTGGGGGGCTTCAGAGACAGATTGCAGGATTGCCCTGATGAAGCCCAAACCCGTACTTCAGAGAAATTTCGACTTTACTTATAGTTTACTTATACTGTTCTCCTGATATCGGGAAGTCCTAGTGACAATTGTCTTGTTCCAGGCTTTGGCAGCGTCTCTGTGTCCTGAAGACGGAGGCTCTGGTGGCTGGTTGGCTCTTTCGTTCAGGGTATCTCTCACAGCGGGCATCGGTGTTTTGCCGTGGCACAGTTACTCGCGCTTGGAGAGGAAGAGGTGGTGGTGAGGAAAATGAAGGGCTGTGGGAAGGTTAAAACAAAGCATTCAAGTTACGCTGTGTGTGCCAGTCCATACTACAGTGCGGACCATAAAAAAAAGTCAAGCTGTTGATGTGTTCACCTCGAGATCTTGAGTTATCGTTGGAACAGGACAAGAGAGCGTTACGTGAACTTTTTTTTTCTTGGCGGCTGTGTGCAGCACTTTGGGGAAACCGTGGTCTTTGGGTTTCATTTTCGCTTTCAGCCCTTCCACTGGAGAGCTCTGAAGCCCCTCTTCAGGACAGGCTGCAGTTCTCCATAGGTAAGAGTGGAAGGAGTCCATCCATGGTCTGGAATGAGCTGTGCCCGTGCAGGATGGTAATTCGGAGTGTCTCGGGGGGAAGGCATGGGATCTGGGAATGGGATAGGGGATCACTGTGAGGAAATACAATTCTCCACAAAAAATAATTTGTTACTCTGAACAACTCTCGGTTTTCTTTTGTCCTGCGGTACCAGAACAGAACCCGCTGTGCGCACAGACAGGCACGAAGTGGAAGACAGGGAGAACAGAAAGGCAACACATGAAAAGCAGAGAAAAGGGGGAGTCAATAGAAATGAATAGACATCTGTCAAGCCTTTTAGCACAGGGTTGTTGGAGAGGAAACCTTTTGTTCTGCTCTCAGCAATTACTTTTCTCCGGCAAAACAGAAAATGAAAAGACGACAGTTTTATAAAGCCCGTGAAGGCGGGGAAGTCGGAGAGGCGAATTGTCTCCGCTGCCTTGAGCTTTGTACACAGATAATGAAGAAATGATTCGGACTTGACTTCCAGGCTCCCTGCCGAGCGTGCCAATAACTCACCTGGCAAATTAAAAAGAATAACTCACCCCCCACTGACTGACACCACAATACACACTGACATCCTGATGCACGCTGAACCACTGGAAGCTATATTAGACCAAAGACAAGGCAGGCACAGGATCAGAGAGACCGCGAGGTAGATGGCAAAGAAATCCTTATTTATTATGAGAAAATGCAAATGAATTTGCTATGGCCATTTCGCAATGTACAAACCAAAAATCTCGTGTGGGGGAAAAAAAGCTATACCTAAACAGAAATGGAAGAACTATCAACAGATGCAAAGGTAAATGTGATCTCAGGTGTTAAACTAGATTGGCAGGATTTGCTGATAGGTAGGAGGAATGTGCATATGAAAATGTTTTTTTTTTTTTAACCGTGATGCTTCTGATTTTTTCTCTCTTCTTCCCTCGCACTCCCCCACGTCTTCTGTCACTTTGCCACTTCTCTCTCTTGCCCATCCTCCTAGCCCTGCTCATTGTTATTTGCTACAGAGGGTTTATGGAAATTGCTCTGCACTGCAGCGGACAAGCACAGGCGTCTATTCCCAACCCTTCCACCTGCAGTACATTTCCGACTGCACGCCGCTGTACAGCACCAACACACGCGCCACAGCACGCCTCCGTGAAGCCTCTGTTCCTTGACCTCTTTAAATGTTGTTCTGGCCTGAGCAGCAGGCAGACCGGTTAATGCAAAACCCGTGTTCCAAGCTAAAGCCCCGAACGTTGCGACTAGCTGCTGCTCTTAAAACGAGTGCTTCGAC